GAACGGACAATCAGAACCAGGTGTGTGGGAAGATTTTTTTAATTATTTTTTGGATTCAAAGCTCCGTTTCCGAGTTATAAACACTTTTTTATTCTATGATTGATTCAACTTGTAAATTGCATTTTACAAAAATTAAAAAAAAATAAAATAAAGTAAAAATACCAAAACTGATAATAAAAGAAAACTATTTTGCTACATCTCAAATTTAAATAAAATAAAAATATAAAAATAATAACAAATTACGTGAATTAAAAAACTTATACCCATAGAGGTTTCAAAAAACTTTCTGTTTTGGTTCTCAAATACCAAAGCAACTTAAAGTCAAACGTGAAATTTTGTTTTGTTTTGTTTATCTAACTTCCATAGAGATATAGGTATATAATAATTAATTTGTTACATATATGAAACATTAAATACGTGCATAGAAACAGCATATTTACAATTAAAATATTATTTTTATCAGCGAAATATGGGAATGGCTACGGGATTGCTGTTATCTCCAATATTAAGTCATATGTTTACGGAAAATATTCAAAACAACTACATATATTAAATAAAAAAAAAACTGTGTTTTGCTAGAGATACGTTGATGATGTTTCTAGGGATAATACTAACAAATTTTTTAAATTTCAATATAGTAAAATCTTTATCATGTTAAAAACAGTTAAAAGTTAATTTATGTGAATGAGTCGGTCGATAGCCGCACGGTTTAAGGCGTCAGTACTTGAATCGATGTGCTATCTGCCCAGGTTTCGAATCCCGCGACCGGTAGACCGTAGATTAGCTATGCTTGTATGGAGGATTGGCACCCTCTGTGCAGGTATGGTAGAGTGGAAAAATGTTGGCTTGGGTTAATGAGGTTTTCCAGGTTTCCCTCATTCCTGCACTGAATGGTGGTTAGGGCCTACCAACATAAGTCGTTCCTGGGCGCAAATGCGGCCTGCTTAATAATAATATGCCGCCTCCTCTCCCGCACAAGTCTCTGACATCTGGGCTAATTCTCGTAGTTAGAGATATTATTATTATTATTAAATTTTAAGAAAAGAAAAATTGTGGCAGAAATACCCAATTAAATAAGAATAGTACCAGATGCTCCAAATAAATAGTTACAGGCAATATTTCTGTTCTGTATCTATATCTATATTAATTACATGAAATTATAAGTACCCAAAAATCGCACTTGAATGAAAACAATTAGATATCTTTTATATTTTAGTGCAGACTTTTGTTAAGCAGAAAATTGTTTACAGTAACTTTTGGACACTTCTAAAATGAGGGATTGCTAATTAGTCCTATATCTTAATGTAGATAGGAAATTTAATACTTAATATATGTTTATTCTAGATATGTATGGCAGGTAAATCTAATGTTGGACATTATTTAATAAAAGTATACGGACGAAAATTGTTTAGCTAATTTCTAGATAATATTTCCATATTCAAAAAAAAAAGTCAAAAGCCTTTGAAAGAATAACCTTTGTATAGAAATTAAACTAATAAAACTCTAACTGCACTATACTGACAATTAAAAACAAGTATATTCTTTGGTTAAATATAATGTTGCACAATGCTCTTTTTATATTTTACCTCTTACATTTTATTGCAGAAACGGTGAATTTGACATTAACATAATTCATTGCCTCCATGTAGCTAAAAATCCTACAAAATTTTTAGGTTGTTGTAAATTCAACAAAAAATTAAGTTTTACGGATATTAATTTGATAATTTTTTAAATTTTCGGCGGCTTTCGCAGCTAAGTCCCTGTCTATTACGCTGTTTATATAAAAAAACCTTTTTAGCCCCATTAGTACAATGGAATTTATGGTTAAATAGGAATTTCAGACAAATATAATTCATTGACTGTCGACGTTTTGTCTCTTTATTGATACATCTTTAGAATTTTAAAAAGGAACAAATTAAATTGTCTACAATATACCACTATAAACACCACCGGATAGTAATTAATTACGCAACTTCTGCACGATAACAAAGTCAACAGTATACTAACGTGGCGTGAACGTGAAAAGCATTCTGAGGCAGCGGCTAACGCATGCCTTAGATGATTCGTTTGGCACGGCATTTAATTGCGGCTCTCTGTGACAGTCCAAGTAATGACACTTGTAGTTTCTTTATGCTATCTAATGGTCTCGAAGATGTATCAACTGTGTTGAGACATCGATATTCAGTGCTTTTATTAAATTTACCCTTGGCCAGAAATTCTACGCACACCTAACCACTTCTCAAATTAGAATAATAGAGCTTAATTTACGCAGTGCATGTGTCAAATATGAGGCTGAAAAAAAAATTAAATTAAAAAAATTTAACTGACGAGATGTATCTTGAAAACAATGGGGATGTTTCACATTTTTTTTCTTTTCTTATTAAATTCCTTTCATCGTAAAAAGTCAATGGGGAAGTTTCACATTTTTTTTTCTTTTCTTATTAAATTCCTTTCATCGTAAAAAGTCAATTGCCACATAAATTTTAAATTTTTAATTACTTAAAAGTTTTCCTATAAAAAAATATATAAATTCAAAATAATTCTCTATGCACTAAAACGCAGTCTTAAACAAAGACGGCAGACTCTTACGTCACGATCCGGTATCGGTCCAAATTAAACGAGTCGTGTAGAGTCGTGTTCTGTAGTCTATCTCACTCTTACTCATTTGTGTTTATGCAAACTACGTGTGCCGGATAGATTTTATATTATTTACTCTTACTTAACACAATATTGTTAATTATTTTAAAAATTGTACATTCTATGGCTACAGAAGCTGGATTTGTCCAAGAGCAGTATGATAATTTGTCAAAAATAGATGTTCTATAAAATATGTTTGCATGATTTCTTCCTCATTTTCTCATCCTTTGGTACATTAAATAGTTTGTTGGGGGCAGTTAGTGTTGTGGAACTACACATGGGTACTATAATATTTATGTTCAGACACTGTTATGTTTTTCACATTCTCGTGTTGTAATTCTGATCCTGAAGCCGCCACGCATTAAATAAAGCTGCCTGGGTAGATATTGTAAAGATGTTCGTAGATTCTATGAAAATTAACGAAACTTGTCTTTAAACTTATACACTAAAACTAACTACTCAAAACTACTCAGAATTCAATGCGAACACAAACTCATTCAACACAAGATTAAATGACAGCAATGCAATGACAGCGCCAGCCTCCCGCGTCTTGACAGTCTTAACACTCATGTACCGGATCCTGACGTCACAAATTGTTTGACCAATTAGGGACCGTTTTCGCCCACCTAATTATATTCAATATTTTAATAATTAATTACATATAAACAGTTAAGTTTAAAGGGGTATGTATATATAGAAACATACTTTTATAGTAATTTTCTGCACTTTAAATAAATTTTGCTTCAAAAGAAAATTTGATGTAACTTCCTCATTTTATTGACATTTAGAAAAAAATTCTTACACTCTACTACTATTTTACCATGCCAAATCACCTCCTTAAGTTGTATGATGTATTTTAAATTTCCTGAAAGTACATATATTTAATGTCTAGTCTAATATTCGGGATAAAAATTGTATTTCGTCCTGAATTATATGATTTATTTATTTTGATGTTTACCACTTTTAACAGCTTCATTACTGGACTTGACACACCTTGTATATGGCTACTGTAATGTTTGTTATTTTCGATACAGTTAGAGGGATATAAAATCATGATCACTTCTCATATCTATGCGATAAATGAGTATTTAATGGATATCTTTTAGCATAAAATTCCTTCAGTCTTATAATTACAGTTTTTTATTATTTCCTTAGAATTTGAAATAGGTTTATTGGATACGGTATATTTATTGGAACGAATTGCTGAATTTTGCCTTGATTAGTTTAAGCTTTAGCGAAATTAAATAATTAAGTCATTGATTTCTTTTTGCTATTTATTATAAATTCAGATTTGCTGTATTTAAATATGTGCATGTAAGTAGATGTTAAAAAGGTGACTACTTAATTAAACAAGTTTTATTAAAATATTAATAGCTCGGTTATGTTAAATAATAATAATCGTATGAAAAGTTTAGTTACTCTTGGAAAACAAAAGTCTGACAGATTATTATTATGATGTTTGTTTTCCTGTTGTAGTTACACAAAAAGTTGTCAATAAAGTATAAACATATTCGTTTAATGAAATCATTTTACTTTAAGAAGTTTTTTCTTTAATATAAATTCAAAAGCTTATTACCCTTTAGCACATATTTATTAACATTATTATTTTAGTGTATTAGAAAATAAGTAAGACTTAATATATCAGAAAATTTGAAATTTTTTGATTTTTGAATAATTTAATAGGATATTATAAAGACTGACAAAAAAGTAAGATAAAATTCCAGATAAAACTGTTGGAATCGAAAAAAATATACACTTTTTCATTGTGAGATATTTCTGGTAAGATATAAAATCAGGTTATCTGATAAAATTTAATTTATAAAAAAAGCTTTTGACTAATCCTTTTTGCGAAAAATTATTTTTCAAACATATTTCATTTCAGTTTAATAAAATAATAAGAAAAGATCCACAAATTAATAAATACAAATAATATTTATAAGCAGTTTTAAAAACTGAACCGAATAGGTTTATTTAATCTACCTATTCATCAAATTAAGTAAACACCGATACCTATCAATTGATGAAAAATTTTGTTTAGATTTCATAAATCGAAAAATATATTGCTTGCATCACCGAATTCTAATAAACCTCTTTACAAATCCATTTCTGGTATTCTTGAAAATTTGGACGACATTTTAATTACTTTTTGTTTACTTCTCAAAAATATTAAAATTACAAGGAGGTGTCAATTGTCATGCTCATAATATTATTTCTTAGGCAGCACTATTACCAGTTTGTTCTGCGGGTTGTATAACCGAAACGGACACAGTATAGGCAACTCTATTTACAACTTGTTTTGTGTGTTGCAGATACGGCCGGCTGAACGTTCTACGCTGGCTTCTGTGGGAAGCCGAGTCCCGCGAAGACATGCCAGCGTTGGAGAAGATTACCAATAACACCACCCTAGCTCTCCACTATGCTGCAGCTAGGGGGTGTTTGGATTGCGTACGACTCTTGGTCGACTCTACACCAGACTTAAGGTACTTTTTATAGTTTTAATAGTTTTTAAAAGCTTCTATTTCGGGTGTTTATCCAGCGGGCTAGTTTGTGTGTATCCATTTATTAGAAATTGAATTATTAAATCTCTAACCACTTTGTAGTTTTACCAGAACAAATTTGTTAAATTACATTGTTCTTTTAACGAAAGTCATTCTCTAGAAATTGAAAATAGCAGTGGCAGTTCAGATGGGAATACATTTTTATTTACATGTTAAAATTACTGTCCCACTTTTAAGATTTTTATAATCAGAATTAGATTTGCGTTTAATATAGACAAAAATCTCAATGTTTAAAATTTGCTTGCTTATATTTTTTTTAAATAAAAATAAATAAATAGATTAAATTACAATTATATTATTATTGTTGCAGCTGTTACATTATTTCACAATAGACGAATGTTGAAATAATTAGAAAAAGTAATACAGTCGTTTTCTTTCTTGTATAGTAAACAAATATTGGCAGCATTTTTTTACATTCAAACTCTAATTCGATTGGAGTATACATATATGTATATGTTTAATTTTCATGGTAGAATCTAGTGGTGGAATACTGTCTGTTCTTTGGCATACACCCTGTATATTGTACAGTTAATGAGATTAACTATCACAATATTATTTCGTCTTAAAGAGAGATATGTACATTCTGTGGAAAGTAAGAGTAAAATGGGAAGTTATTTATTATTACAGATATGAATGTGACTGATGAGTGAAATAATTAGATAACATTATTTCATTGGCATGAAAGTGTCAAAATTATGATTAAGTGGATAATAATTTCCATGGATTATTCTTTTATTTTACAAAAACTTATGTGTTATAAACGGATGATTTATTTCACTGATTTTAAAATTTCTAACTTGTGATTCCTATTCATTGACATGCAGAATTTAAATTTCTCTTATTTGAATATTAATAGAATAGATAATCATTTGGATAGACATAACAATTATTTCCTGTAATTTTTTCTATAGGAACTCATTTGGTATTAACTTTTTTAAATTGAACCTCTTTTGAGGTAGGTACTTACCTATATGTAGCTCTCTGTAATTATTTATATTAGCCATTTTTTGTTATTGTTTTTATTTATTGGCTTCATATCTGCCCTGTCGGACTGTTTCAAGGAAAATAATATTAATTTTAGATTAGTTTACCACGTGTTATTAATTTCCGAATTATTTCCAATCAAATAAAAGGCTTGAAACATTCTGACAATTTTTTCTTTAATAATCCTATTTTGATATCACTGGAGATAATTCTTAATTGGAAGACTTTCCTGTATTTAAAATTTTTCTTATACTTTCAACAATTTTCTAAATATTATCAATAGAAACTAACTTTCTGAAGTTTTAGGCCTGGATCTAAAAAACTAATGCAATTAGAAAAACAGAAATTTATTCGAACTCTTTACTTCAAATGTACGTGTCAAAAGTTATTTTACAGTCTAGATCAAATTTATGTGGTAATTTTTAAATGCAAATTTTTGACCACTCTGTAAAAATGATTATAAATTGTAGCAAAATAATATTAGATACGTTAATTTGAACCAAAAATGTTCAAATGAGCACTTCGCTAACTTCATCAATTTTTTTATATCAGGGTCGAAAATTTCAGAAAAGTAATTTTCAGCTGTTAACATCATCTGCAAATATAATACCATTTTGAAAATTTAATTATCTTCATTCATATTCAAGCACATTTTTTGTGTTCCAAGATATCACCCTGTAGATCATACGAGTAGATCAATATTTTAATCTTGTAATAAATAAATAAACTCTTCAAATTTTGCGTCAAAATTATGTAATATATTATCTACATCCTTCAATGACAATAAATAAATTTTCAACTCTAATATTTTTAGTCAGATATTATAATCGTGGCATGATTAAAAACCGACTTCAAATCAGCAGAAGACATGAAGCCTTTTTAATCTTATAAGTAAAAGCAAAAGAAAGTCATACAAGAACTTTATTGTATAAAGTTCCTAAAAATTTGCATAAAGAAACATATACTCGTACGTACCAACATAATGTTTGACTTTAGTCGTCCCGATATGTTCCGCACTGGTATTTTGTTACATAATACCATTTAAATGTCGAAGGTCTCGATAAAAGCGAATTAACATTTAAAAAGTCGATAAAATATTTTGCATAACTAAGAATGGCCATCCAAGGACCATCGCGGTTTCATGTTACTATTAGATACAATTAAATAAAAGAATTCGTTCTAGTATTTATTTGTTACATAATTTAAGTAAACGATTTTAAATTTCATGTTTTATTTTAAATTTATTTCTTTTCAAATCCGTCAAAAAATCCGACAAGTATTACCCAAGTTTTAAAAATATTTATCTGCCCCCACTATAGTAAATAGACTGTTAATACATTGTTTTTAAGGAGGTAAGTGGATTTTACCGTAGAAGAGGAAGTTGCTATGGACAAAGGGAGGTAAGTGAGGTGACTTACCTCCCTAGGGAAAAAAGCGATTTCGAGTACATGCAGATTTTATGAACAAATAAATATAAATATTTGATGAACATTACATTTTATTAATTATTATGAATGAATTTTTATAGTAATTGTACAGTTATTATATTTAATAACATTTATAAAATCTGGATAATTATTCCCCTCGCGTTTACTAATTGTCACATTTATGTGACTGATCCATTAAAACAGCATGATGCGACGTACTACTAGAACCTGGAGTTGAAGTGTCATTGTAAACAATCCTGTTGGCTATTTCATTTTTGTTACTTAACTTTCTGCAGTTGTGTCTGATTTCCACCCACCATGTCTCTTGGCTCCGGTATTAGCCAGTAACGTTGCCGATGTTCTTCGGAATGAATGGCCTGTATATGTTTCAGGATGTTCTAGTTTCAAAAACTGTGCAATCTTGTTAGGAATCATAGAAACGGTATTCTTGCCGACTGGTTGGTTGTAACATCTACCTGCTTGATAGCGCATAAAAAAACGTCACTACCTTCATTAGCAAATATGTTTTATCGGGTGCCTGAACGAGAAAATCGTTGACTTGTTCTCTTGTAAAATTGTTTGACTTTTTAGGTGTATAGCTGTCATTCTTACGTTTCAAAAATGCTCACAGCTTGGGGTATTTTAATATATCCACGTTCTCCTCTATGAGAATAGTTGACTTAATCATTGAGTATTCACTCCCCAAACTCTCGTAGGTGACTTTAAAGTTCTTGACTTCTCCATGAAATATGCTAACAATGACATTTCAGAAACACCAGTATTTTTGTTCTGGCACAATTCTTTGAAATTTTTATATGCTTGTCCGTAGCGCACTTTCGACTTCTCTGGCAATAAAAATTCGCAGGCTGCACTTTCTATTTGAAAATCACTCATTTAGAAATAATAATTCAAAACCAGCAAAATTGCAACTTTTATGTAGCTTTGTTTATAAACACCTTAGAAACGACAACATCCAAACAACCAAGGTGACTTTGCAAGATTTCGAATAATGTCAAAATGCATTCATTAAGAAATGTCAAAAAATAAAACCTAATCTTTATTTCATGAACCATAAAGAACTGTAGGAGCAGATAAAATGTTATTCACCACGCAGCATTTAAGTATAATTTATCAGTCTCGGACTCTATTGCGAGCCCTCGCTCCGCTCGGTCTCAAAATCGTCCTCGACTGTTAAATAATACTTACCTTCTTTATGGTGTAAATAACTATTCCTTTGCTGCTTTCATATGTATAAGTTTATTATTACGAGAAATAATTATATCTACAGGGTGTATTTAAATGGAGGGGCATAAATGATACCAGATATTCCTTGGGTGAAAATAAGTCGATTTAACCTAACATACCTATATCCCAAGTCCCATAATAAAAAATATACAGGGTGTCAAATTGAAAAATAAAAAATGGTTTTTCCTTAATAATTTCTACAATTTTAGTCAGAAATGTTTCAAATTTTCAACGGAGAGGTTTTTTAATGATGGAAAAAATAATATAATAATGATTTTTGATTGTCGAGTACGAGGCGCCCTCTACAGGCAATGTTATGCATTGAATATGTAGTAACTTTTTTGCCAATCCCCGTATACAACTTTTAGTAACAAAATATGAAATATTGGACTGTTTTTAAACAAAAAAGGTATACTAATTGAAAATGGCTGAAGCCAACCGTTCAGGAGATATTTTTAATTTCATAAATTAGTGCTATGGATTTATATCTTCACGAATACCAAGGTACAAACAGACAATTTTGTTAATAAATTCAGAACGCATTGCCTCACAGTACTTATTAGTAGTGTATGTTCTGTATTTTAAAATTCGACCAAATGGTGGCGCAGGAATCAACTGAGACAACATTATTTTTCCTGTTTTAGATTTACTTTACTCTTTTTGTTTATTAATTTAGCATGTGTGAATACACTTGTTGCATAATTTCTATATAATGTTTTTTTCGGTGTCTATTAAAAAACACATTTTCTTGTGCACGTGAAATTATTTAAACCCAGTATTAAAGAAATCTCATATGAAATAACAGTTCAGGTGAAAAAATATTGCAAAATACTTATTTATTGTTAGTTTAATAATAAAATTATTAGAAAAAAGAGCAAAAGAACTAAAACCAAGATTCACTTAACAATATTCAATAGATAATTTAAGTGAAACAATTGGCTGACAATAAAAAAAAAAGATTATTTAAAGGGAAGAATAAATGGACCAATAAGATAATCTCTTATGAATCTTGTCAATACATTTAAACTAAAATTTTGTTGAAATTTGGATGTACAAACTTGGTGAGGATTATCGTCAGACCATGAGTGATTATGGTGATGGTTCACAAACCATGTCTTCGAAATGACGCTTCATCACCAAACAAAATACTGGATAATATATTTCTGTTTTCCCTTGAAATGTTGATATACCATTGACAAAAATCTATCCTGATAGGTAGATCCGCTGCAGTCAATTCCTGCACAGGTTGCAGATGGTAAGGGTATA